AGATGTTTTGGGGTTAATTAATTTAAGGTTTTTTTTTTTTTTTTTTTTTTTTTTCCAATTCTGCCAATGGTATGTCTCCTTGTACATTTACTTTGACAAATTTTTGTGGTTCATCTTGCTCTTATTCTTATAGACAGAAAACAACCTAATATAGCTGTGTTAAATGATTAAATCTTTTAGTGAAAAAGGTTAATGATCTACATTGCTTGATACAAGATGTTTACTCTATTTGGGTGCTGCTGCAAGCTTAGAAAAGAGTTGTGCAAGCCTTTAATACATGTGTCCTATCAATCTGAATTTGCAATGGTTTGGAAGTTGTATTTTTTTAACATTGATTCTTTTCTTAATGTTATAAACTTATATAATATTTATAACCTTTACAAGAGTTTTGCTGTTCTCTTCACTTGGAAGTGCAAATTCATTATATTATCGTGGTATACTTAATTCATATATGGGATATCCTGATAAATAGAGGTTGAAAACTAAAGAAAACCCTTTGCAAAACCATTGATGTAGAGTTAAAAGACCTTTATTTAAATGGTCTTTTGGAAAAAATTTGGATGTTGACAAAACACATTGCTCACATGTTAACCATGTAGTTGACTCCAACATCTAGTGTTTGTTTTTTCTTACACGATAAGGGTAGCATAAAAATGGTTTTGAAGACAGAAATAAAGATCAAGTAGAAGAATTTGTCTAGCTGAAATTTAAACTATCGTGTTAACTCTTGAGCATTTGAAATGTTAATGATTAATATTCTATGTCTGGTGGAAAGATGGTATTTGAAAAGTGTTTTTCTTCTGGGAAAACTGTTCATATTATTATATTATATGGTAAGTAATACATTTTGCAAGATAAGAAATAAGCATTGTAAAAGTGAATTTGAAAACTAATTAATTGCAGGAGTGTATTTTGAATGACAAATGCTTATGCTTTTTGTCTACTTGATGTGTTTTGTTTGCTTTCATAGGTTATCAAGTTTGTAAATTTGTTTTAAAACTGAGTTTGATGAATGCCATGATACATCTTTGGTCCTCTCATTGAAACATCAGGGGAGGCTGATATATTTGCCATAGAAAGACAGATTCATGACATGGTTGTCAGTGGTTTGTCAATAGATATTATTCACAATAGAATATTATGGTGTTGTTAGATCCATATATTGTCAACATCAGGGGAAAAGGCTTTGTTTATTGATTCTGTTGTTGATTTGAAATTTGAATGAACAGGAGATGTGAATTTAATTAGCTTACTATTCCTTATTGATTATAATGGTTTTTCTCCATTCACAGGGCACAGGGCACAGGGCACAGGGCAACCAGTGATTGCTTTTGCTAGCATGGCATCAAGTTATAATATATTCTTTGATGATAAACGGAGCAAAGCCGAGGTTGACCCTCCTCAAAATGAGGAGTCAGCAGATGTTGGTGAATTAGTAAATGATCCTGCTCTTAAACCTAATGGGACTGTTTCAAGCAGTGTTCGTGAGCTTTTAGAGTGCCCTGTATGCCTGAATGCTATGTACCCTCCAATCCATCAGGTTGTTTATGTATTGATGATTTGTTGTTGATTTTTTGGGTTCTTTTGAGAAAGTGTGCAATTGTAAATTAAAAATATTGGGGTGTTCAAAGTGCAATTTGATAAATTTGATAAATTAATTACAATTACAAAGTGAAATTGACTGGTACGGGATTCATAGCACAGTTGCTGAGTGTGACATGTCAAAAGCAAAATACTGAGTGGGAGGGTGTTAATTTCCTCGTTCAAAAGTAATTCTCCCTTGTCTCACCTAGCTGATCTATTCTGAGAATATATTTTTTTTTTCTAGCAGGAACTAAGTCAATTTTTTTGTATGTAACTTTGAATTTACATAATTATTGGTTGTTTCAAAAGAAATTTTATTTTGAAATTTAGTTAACATCACTTCCTCTGTTGCTTTTGCAGTGTTCAAATGGTCACACTATATGCTCAGGTTGCAAACCCAGGGTCCATAACCGGTGCCCTACTTGTAGGCATGAGCTTGGCAATATCAGATGCCTGGCACTGGAGAAAGTGGCTGCATCTTTGGAACTTCCCTGTAAATATCAAGGTTTTGGGTGCAGCGGTATATATCCATATTACAGCAAGATAAAACATGAATCGCAATGTGCATATAGACCATACAACTGTCCATATGCTGGTTCAGAATGCTCTATTATGGGTGATATACCCTACCTGGTGGCACATCTGAAAGATGACCACAAAGTGGACATGCACAATGGTAGCACTTTTAACCACCGCTATGTTAAATCAAATCCACAAGAAGTTGAAAATGCCACATGGATGTTGACGGTATTGTTTTGCTGAACTTTGTTTTACCTTCCTTTTATTGACTCAGTAAATTCACCAGACTGTGAGTACATGGTAGATTGTATAATTTTGGGCCAGATTTGGATCTACACATGTCACTCATCATCATTTAATGAGTATATAGAATTTAAGCATGCCTTGTAACTTTCTTCATTTTCTTAAACAAGAAAAATTGAATATTGGCGATACTGGAACATCTTGGAAACTGAGCTTGTTATTTTAAAGTTGTATTATCAAGGAACTATTGATTTACAGCATTGCCTCTTTCTAGGTGTCTGTACAAAGGCTTTATATATATAGTGAGATAGATTTTTTTTTTTTTCTACACAGAATTATGGAATTAGCTTATATATATACTTCATATTGGTTTCTAGGTCTTCAGCTGCTTTGGTCAGTATTTTTGTCTACATTTTGAAGCTTTTCAGCTAGGAATGGCTCCTGTCTACATAGCCTTTTTACGGTTTATGGGTGATGATAATGAGGCGAAGAACTACAGCTACAGTTTAGAGGTAGGTGGAAATGGGAAGAAGATGATTTGGCAGGGGGTGCCTAGAAGCATCAGAGACAGCCACCGCAAGGTTCGTGACAGTTTTGATGGTCTCATCATTCAGAGGGATATGGCCCTCTTGTTTTCCGGGGATGACAATAAGGAGTTGAAGCTTAGGGTTACTGGTAGGATTTGGAAAGAACAGTGAATGGAGAGAGACAATGTCCTTTCAACTAGCAATTATATTTAGGCTGATAGTTTGTAGTACAACTCGTTTCTTGTAGTGATATGTGACTTCTGATCATGTTATCGTGTTTTGTAATTTAGGAGGCAAACTCTCTTTGCTGATCCTTTCATCAAATACATGAACAGGAAGTTGTATCTCGTATCATTATGATAACTACTCAATAGAGATGAGAACCTTAATGTGCCTCACATATATTCTTTTTTGTTTGAACGACAGTGAATGAGAGCACTCGAGAAAATGTTGCTGGCACACAACCTACCACGTAATGTTTTCGTTATATTCTCGTAGCTGCTATATTTGTCAATTTACCGCATATCTTGCGAGCTTGTTTTTTTGAATATTTGAAAACGATATCTAGCTTGTTTTTCTGTTCTAATCCAAGTATCTGTGCAATCCCTTCATTTTCCAAGTTTCTATAAATATAATTGACATTAGTGGGTACTTGGTTATTAATCGAATGATTTAGAGCGATCTATAACTTACGTGTGGTATGGCACAATAACGCTCGAGTGTAATGTTGAAATTATTGATATGATCCAAGCTCGCATTGAATTTCAATATCATGGTTTTGTTAGGCTTATTGCATCAAAATGAATAACAGTTATAGCCCAACTATCCCACTCCAAATTCTAAATTATTTTTTAGGCTTTACTACAGTGCACGTACCGTTCTGAGCTACCCCTGTTTTGTGTTCCATCTGCCACAATTATATGTCAGTGATAAAAAAAAAAAAAAAAATACCGGTACTATATTTCAAGAGCATACTAAACCAGTTAATTTTTGGTGATTGATACCTCGTGGATCAATAATCCACATTACAATGAATGGTATGCATTAGTTTTGTCCCATGAAAGACAAAAATATGTGAAAATGTGAAATGGATTATAGAACCTATTGCATGCTAAGGAAGATCATAAGATGAAGCACTTCAGGTAAAGATCCTTTCAGCTGAACTGCATATATCTTGTAGCCAAAAAGGGAGGGAAACAAGAAAAGAGAACTCCAGTGTTGCATTCATTTTTAGATGTTATTAATATACTATGGTATTTTGAAATACATCCGGTTAACAAATAGGCTACTTTCTAAGTATGCACTTGTCTTATCCAATTAGACTGAGAATACAGGCTTCAGCTGCATTTAGCTAAATACGCACTCCATCCTTGAAGACGGTATTCACGAGCTGCCTGGGCGGGATTTGCTGCCTTTATGATGCCACGACCCACTATGATAATATCACTACCCCTATCATTGACAACCTGAAAACACCATTTGGTGAATTGTCAACCAATAAGCTCAAATAAAAGAGTACTGCGCAAAACAACACAGTTGAGCATGGGAATGGATCTTTTAAGTGGAAAAAAAATGTCATGATCCTTTTAAGATACAGACTGCAACTTGCATAAACTTACTGAATATGGTGTGTTATATTGCTGCCCTAAAGCATCCCCACCAGTCACCATTTGAACTCCAGGAGTTGCATGAATGAAAGAGGGATTTACGGGTGCCCCAGGCCATGATGCTGGATTGACTGAGATGAAGCCAATAACAAAGTCAGAATGATCCTCGGCAATTTTCATTGCAGCGGCGGTGTAATCTCCCTTGGCAAAGTTACCAGTTGAACTCATTTCAGCAAGCAGAAACAGACCCTTTCCATGAGGCAAACCCTAAGTATGATTCACAAGACAGGTTAGGCTAGCAGTTTTGGCCTAATGGTCTGGCTACAGTCAAGACAATGTTATGACTACTATTATAGAGCACAGACCTTCAACTTCAGTCCTTCCACAATTCCAGGACCAGATATAATGTGAGCATTTACTATATCAGCCCATTCCAATATGTGAAAGATCCCTCTGCAGATATCAGAGGATAATGATGTCATAATATTAAAAGCAGAAACAAAAAAATAATACTGAAAATGAATCCAAAATCATTAGGAAAAATCTTACCCTGCATACTGCATGGTCACTGTGTTACCAATGTCAGCAAACTTACGATCCTCAAAGATTAAGAAGTTGTGTTTTTCGGCAATCTTCAACAGAAAAAAGCATATATTAGAAGCAACTAAACCAGAAATGTAGAAGATTCCTGTGATCTCGGTAAACATGTTGCTCATAATCATGTAAAACTCTTATAATTGGTTAAAGTCACGACATCAGATTCTACTTTCAATAAATATCAGAAAATCTACTCCAGTCTATAATTTTAGACAATATCAGGATGCATAAATTTGTTCTTCTCTACTGAAAAGAAAAGAAAAAAGTATCTTTTAGCACTATACCGAGCGAAGCTTAGAACCGAAATCAGGAGTAAAATCTGGAAATATATCCACATGAGTTTTCAGCAAGCATATCTCTGGCCCAACCTGACAGGAAAAAACAGCCAAATTAGTTTAAAATAATTTATTTGTCAGGAGTCAGGACTAAACTTCTAACTATAAGTCTACAATCTCACTTATGATAATAATCCAGAGAATAGTAGGACCTTTTACAGTTTCCAACCCATTTGTAAACTATAAGTCTAATATGATATCTAACTATGCCATGGCTAGTTAAATCTTTTTCCATTTTGTATACATACCAAGTTATTACCTTGTCAGCAATTTCAAACAATTCAGCTGCAGTTCCAACGTCTGCAGCCAAACACAGATTACTCTCCTTCTCAGCCATTATCTCAAACAACCTCCTTCCTGTTGGATTCTTGGACAACTTAGCCCTCTCCAAAAATGGTAAGGCCCGGACCTTAGCTGTAGTTGCCAAAGCAGCGACCTTCTGATTGTCTTCTAAGAATCTCATAACAACCCCTAGCAGCTGCTTATCAAGCTTTCCTTTTTCACTCAAAATTTTCACCATTTCAGTCAATTTAAGAATTGCATGCAGCTTGATTCCATTACCCTCCAAATTCTCCCTCCCACCTTGCTCTCTATCGATCAGAACAACAGCATCACTGACCTTCAACCCTGCAGCACGCAGTGGTGCAGCAGTTTCCAAAACTGATGTGCCACTAGTGACTAAATCCTCAATTATCAAGCAACTTTGGCCGTGCTTGAAATCACCTTCAATGGCTTTAGAAGTTCCATAACCTTTGATTTCCTTGCGACGCATGACCATAGGAATATTCTGAGTGACAGAAACACAAGTGGCAATGGGAAGAGCAGTGTAAGGGACACCACAGACATGGTCAAATGAAGTGGAAGAGACAGAGGAAATAAGGGTTTGAGAAATATTCCGGAGGACGGAAGGGTAAGATATAATGAGCCGGAGGTCAATATAGATTGGCGAGGAGATGCCAGATTTGAGTTTGAAATTGCCAAATTTGACAGCTGAGATTTCATGGAGTTGAAGAACTAGAGACTCCATTGATGTGCTTTTCTCAGTGTGCTTCAAGGATTGTTTTAGACCTTAGGGGTAACCTGTGTAATTCAGTAAACAACATCTTCAATTTTTTTAAACATATATATAAATACATCTTTAGAAACATTTAGCTCAACCACTAGCATAGATTTAATCATAATATTCCTCACAGATCATACATCATAGATTATATCACAGAAGCAAACAATTCCCACAGCATATTCAAATTTCAAACACGAGGCAAATTGCTTAAAAACAAAATAAAGTGATGAACACAAGGAATTTAGATGAACCTTTCACAACTAGCACATGACAACCTTAAAATGATGGTCATGAGTCTGCATCCAGGTCTTGTGCTGTCGTGAACCTACACAGACAGAATCTAACCTACCTGATTCAGATTCTATTATGCCTACTAATAAGGTGGTAAGAAAGTTGATATGTACAGTTATTGTGAGTTAGATTACATTACTCTAGGATCTGCTGTATATATTGAACCTGTATATGTGACTATATGAATCAGAACCCACTTTCACTCAACTATTTAGTGAAAGAAACCACAAAGCGCATTCCTAGTTACTGCCAAACCATATCGTAATCAAGAAAGAGGGAAAACTAAAACACTACTTCGGTTATCCTTCAGCATATCCCCCTCCCCCCTCCTTGGAAATTCAGTCCTATGCAACTTACAACAAACACACCAAATTTGTTTTTTGGGCTACAACCAATATTTGACAAATGCAACCAACCTTCAAAATACACTTGGATTACAAAACAACTAAAAAGGAAGAAAAAAATTAGTCGAATAGGCAATTCAAACAAATTTAAAAGAAAGAAATAAAAAAAGTCCCCAAATCATTCAGATGTAATATTTTTTTTTCATCAGTATCTTCATATGCAATCCTATGCGAGATATTAAATGTAGACACCTCTCTTTACTTGAATTTAAACCTTGTTTTGCCGTGTCGTGAGGGACTAGTCTGTTTCGATAAAGATGCAATCACAGCCAAGCACAATTCTAAGTTTTAATTTTGAAACCACCCAAAAAAAAAAGAACCTCAATTTATTAATATAACTGTCTACACTGTTTGAGCAACAAAATAAATTCAATCAACAACAATACAAGAAATCCTAAAATTTCATGCAGAATCAATCAATGACATTCAAAAGTTCAATGACCTTATCAACAACATTGGTTCAACCCAAACTCAGTCAATGCAGCAACCCAAACAACAGATGATATAAACTTAAACATTGAAATTAAAACTTGAAAAGATTCAGCTCACTAGAAGAGAACAGAGAGTGGTGTGAGTGTAGTTCCTCAATAAAGGCCGCGGGCGAGTGTTGTTGCACAAGTTGAAGCCACGGGCGAGACCACGTCAGGGAAAATTTGCACGAATCAGAATACGAAAGTTAGTGCAGCTTATGAGCGCTCACAATTCCCGTTAATACTTGCAACTATACCAAAGATAAAAATAAAAATAAAAGTTAGGATTTATTGGCCGTAATTTAAAACATTGGGCTGAAAGTAAATGTTTTCGACACTTGAATCCCTGTAAATATATTCAATAATTTTTTTAAGTGTCCAACATCCAAAATTTAGAAAAAGTATATAACCTAAATAATAATATCAACATATATCAAAAGACTAAAATATAATAAATGATTACTTTTAGAGATTTTAATCATAAACAAAAATAATTAGAACCAAACATTTTTAAATTTCTTATTTTTTTTTTGAAGGAATAAATTTCTTATTTTTAAAGAGGCAAAAATATACTTTTCGTCCCTTATATTATTTATTAGATTCAATTTAGTCTCACTTTAATTAATTGAATCAATTTAGTCCAACATCTTTAAAATGTATCTCAGTGTTTGATTTTTCGTTTCCTTCATTTAAATACTTAACGGATATGCCACGTGTCATGCTATCATGATACATGGCTGGACATCATGACACGTGACATGATGACATGCACATGGCATGACGGCATGAATTAGTTCTGCGAGGGTAGAACAACAACTCAAGAGAAAACCTAGCCTTAGGAAGGAATCTACCTCATACCTTAGGAAGGACTTCAAGAAGGAGGGTCACTCCTCCTATTCAAAGGAAAGACCACTAGAAAAACGAAAAGAAAAACAAAAAGAAAAATCTTCCAATAAGCCTAGGACTAGCTCCATTAAGTGCTTAGAAAGGGGACATAAAACATCCCAATGCCTCATAAAGAAAACCATAATCATTAGGGGCAATGAAATCCAAAGTGAGGAAAACACTTCATCTTCTTCATCATCTTCAAGTGAGAAAGATGCAAGCCTTAGTTCTAGTGAGGAAGCACCATGTGGTGGTGACCTATTGGTTGTCCAAAGGTTACTTACTATCCCGTACGGGACCGAACCCGACCCAGCCGAATCAATGATTTGAACTGAATCGACCGAACCGACCGATACCCTAAACCATTATTCATCATACCAACCATCCGAGCATGCCGACCCCTCACAAAATAGTAGTGATCGGCCTACTCGTCCAATCCACAAAATTCCTCTAAATACGATTACGATAGTTTAATTTAAGTAATGAGCCAGATTAACCCCCTAATTTTCCGGGGCCCAATTCCTAATCACGGTCCAATAAGGAACACTATAAATAGACCCCCTTCGAGGTACGTAACTAACTTTTCAACGACCGCATTTAATACGCCGAGCACTTACTTGAGCGTTGGAGTGTCTTTGCAGGCAACCCCCCTCATTTCGGACTACTCGGAGAAGGACGAGAAGACCTAGACCCCGGACCCGACCCGCTACAACAAGGATAATCGGAGTGCGTATCCTAACACAGGAACATTTGGCGCCCACCGTGGGGCCGAAGAGACATTTTCAGCCCCTCTTAAACTCTACGACTGAGGCCAAGACATGGTAGTAACCCGCAAGGGACAATCTACAACGACTCAACCGATTCCCCCCGCCGAGAACAATACCGCTATGAACAACCAAGAACAATACCCGTATGGGATGCCTCAGACTCAACCGGACCCTGTGATACAAGAAGTCCGTCTGAATGCTAACCAAGCCCAGCCCGACCTTCAAGATGACATGCGCGCCTTGCGAGAGGAGATGGCGGCCATCCGTAGACAGAGAGAAGCCGATGCCCGAGAACTTGTTGAGCTTCATCGGAAAAATGCCGAGCTCCGAAGCCTAAACCAAACTTACGTGCCGTCAACTCCCACGCTCCAAGAAGAGTCGGCGTATCACGTCCCGACCGACCACATGACCCGAACGCCAGTCACGTCCCTAATAGGCAACAAGGCCGACACCAGTGTTCACTCTCTAAGACACCCTTTCTCGAGAAGGATCATGGAAGCAACACTTTTGGACCACAGGAAGAGTATACCGATTGAGAAGTACGATGGGTCAACCGACCCCGAGGAGCGCTTGAATGTTTTCCTAACTCAAGCAACCCTCTCAACTCAAGATGACTCGGCATTGTGCCGAATATTCCCCATGTCGTTGAAGGGAAGGGCATTGAGCTGGTTTACGAGGTTTCCGAGCTCCTCCATTGATTCGTTTAACGAGCTATAATCCCAATTCACCCTGCAATTTGCAACGAGTAAGCCGTACAGGACAACCTCGCTAGCCTTGGCGGGGGTTCGTCAGGAGAAGAAGGAAAGCCTGAGGAGCTTCATGGACCGATTCAACAAGATCGCCATGGAGATAGGCGATCTGAACCCGGCCGTGGCCCTGGACCGGTTGATAACTGCTCTTAAGCCGGGGCCGTTTGTGAATAGCTTATGTAAAAAACCACCAGTTGACATGAACGATCTCCGACGCAGGGCCGAGAAGTATATGCAAATGGAAGAGCTTGCGGAGACCCGTAACTAGGCCAGGGCCGAGGAGGCCTATAACAGGAAGGAACCGGGCAGGGAACCAACGAGAAAGGCCGCGAACGCCGAGCCCTCGAACCCTCGTCCGCCGAGAGGACCGCGTTACACCGCGTACACTCCCCTCAATGCGAGCAGGCCAAAGGTATTGGAGCAGGCCCTCGCATCCGAAGTACTGGTGATACCCAAGCGGGCGAACACACCACCGAGGGATGACAAGGCTAAGTCGTGCCGATTCCATCGAAACCGGGGCCATTCGACTAAAGAATGCTCGGCGCTGAAGGACAAACTTGAGGACCTCATCAAGCAAGGTCATCTCGGGAACTTTGTAACACCGCAAGATCATCGAACAAGAGGGCGAGATCAACACCCTCGCGAAGCACCATCGCAGAGAGACCGACGCCACAGGTCTCGATCAACCGAAAGGAGAGACCACTCCCGAAGCGTCCGAGAAGACAACAGCCGACCGAGGAAGATAATCAACACGATAGCAGGAGGTTTTGCCGGGGGAGGTTCCACATCTTCCGCTCGGAAAAGACATCTCCGAGCGGTACGATCAATAAATAGCGTGAACCAGTCAAGAACGTCGAAAATGCCTCCGATCACCTTCTCTGACCGAGACTTCCGAGGCGTCGATCCCGTCCAAGACGACCCCATGGTGATTTCGGTGGAAATGCACAATTGCATCGTGAAGAAGACTTTGGTCGACCAGGGGAGTTCCACCGACATCTTGTACTGGAACACATTCAAGCAGCTCGGGATCCCGGAGGAAAGCCTAGAGCCATATCACGAGCCACTAGTCGGGTTCTCCTGCGAAAGGGTAATGACCAGAGGGAGCATTGACTTGTACACTCGGTTTGGGTTTGACCAGAAGTCCTCACGAGAGATCAAAATCCGATACATCGTGGTGCATGCAAACACATCATACAACATCCTACTGGGCTGACCCTCCATTAATGCCTTGGGTGCGATTGTCTCGACCCCCCACCTGTGCATGAAGTTTCCATCCAGAGACGGCCAAGTAGTCACCGTGCACGCCGATCAGAAAACAGCGAGAGAGTGCTACCTTTCCAGCCTGAAGGTGCAACCGATGGTTATCCCCCAAACGTTGACAAGAGGTGTAAATGTGGTACGACAAGAGTTGGCCGAGTGCATTGACCTCGACCCTCGGTTAGGAGAGGAAGAGCGAATCGAGCCCGCAGAGGACCTTGTCCAATTTCAACTGGGACGAGAACCCGAACAAATCACCCAATTAGGATCCCAACTGAATAAAGCTGATTCTGATCGGATGAAACGAGTAGTTAGAGATAACAAAGACCTATTCGCATGGACAGCATCCGATATGTCGGGGATAGACCCCAATTTCTTGTGCCATCGACTGGCTGTGTGCCGGGACGCCCGACCGATAGCTCAAAAGAAGAGGAAGATGGGAGATGAGAAGAGGAAAGCTGCGAATGCTGAGGTGCAAAAGCTTTTGCAGGCGAGGTTTATCCGAGAGGTCACATACACCACGTGGCTAGCCAATGTGGTGTTAGTCAAAAAGTCGATCGGGAAGTGGAGAATGTGCACCGACTACACCGACCTTAATAAAGCTTGTCCCAAGGACGCCTATCCACTCCCATCTATTGACCGACTCGTCGACGGTGCTTCCGGGCACGCTATATTTAGCTTCCTAGATGCTTACTCCGGCTACAACCAGATCAAAATGCACCCGGCCGACGAAGAAAAGACAGCGTTCATAACCGAGAACGCCAATTTTTGTTATAAAGTGAAGCCATTTGGGCTGAAGGATGCCGGGGCGACTTACTAGAGGTTAATGGACAAGGTGTTTAACGGTCAGATCGGCAGTAACATCGAGATATATGTGGACGATATGGTGGTGAAGTCCAATTCTCTGGCCGAACACTTAACCGACCTGACCGAAATCTTCGGCGAACTCCGGAAGCACAACATGAGACTCAACCCCGAGAAGTGTACCTTCGGGGTCAAGGGAGGCAAATTCCTAGGTTTTATGCTGTCGATGAGAGGCATAGAAGTGAACCGAGACAAATGTCAGGCCGTGTTGAGCTTGCGAAGCCCGAGCAACCAAAAGGAATTGCAACGCCTCTCTGGAAGATTGGTCGCCTTATCCCGATTCCTCCCACAGTTAGGCGACAAAATTAGCCCGATGACAAAACTCCTGCGGAAAGCGTCGATCTTTTCGTGGGACGAACACTGCGAAGCAGCCTTCGCAGCTTTGAAGACGACCTTGGCGACACCTCCGACCCTTACGAAGCCTGATCCTCTGTGCCCGATACTTGTATATTTGGCCATGTCCGAGGAGGCTATCAGCTCGGTTCTGGTGCAAGAAAAAGAAGGCAACCAAGCTCCTGTATATTTTGTCAGCCGACTACTACAAGATTCAGAAACCCGGTACCAGTTGATAGAAAAAGTGGCACTCGGTCTAGTACACACGTCCCGACGCCTACGCCATTACTTCCAAAGCCACCGAATTGTTGTACACACCGACTGTCCCGTCGCTAAGGTGTTAAGCAAACCAGAACTCGCCGGAAGAATGATGGCCTGGTCAATGGAACTCTCGCAATTCGACATCACCTTCAAACCGAGGGGACCGATCAAGGCTCAGTGTTTGGCCGACTTCATAAATGAACTTCACCCACAGGGCCAATTCGAGGAACAATGGTGGACCCTCCATGTGGACGGATCCTCAAACAGCCAGGGGAGCGGGGCAGGAATCATCTTAGAAGGACCGAGAGGGATAACGTTGGAACAATCCTTGCGCTTCCAATTCAAAGCCTCGAACAACCAAGCTGAATACGAAGCTTTATTAGCAGGATTAAGGCTGGCCGAGGATATGGGTGCATCAAGAGTCAAGTGCCGGACCGATTCCAAAGTGTGGTCGAGCAAGTGGGGGGAAGCTTCCAAGTAAAGGATCACAGCATGATGAAGTACTATCATGCTTATCAAAAAATAAAAGCGGGCTTTCAGGAGGTGTTGGTCGAGCACATCCCGTGCGAAGACAACACTCGTGCCGACCAGTTGGCTCGGCTGGCCGCGACCAAAAACCGGGACATCTGCAAACGATCATTCAACAAGAGATCGACCGCCCTAGTGTCGATGCAGAAGTGGTGGCAAATGTCAATTCCGACCGTGCCGACCAGGACGACTCCCAAGACTGGCGATCCGAAATCAGAGAGTTTATCATAAGCGGAGCCACGTCGACTAATCTGTCCGAAGCCAAACGACTAAGAACCCAAGCCAGCAAATACGTCGTTATCGCCGGCCAGCTGTACAAACGCGGTTTCTCTACCCCGTTACTCAAGTGCCTAAACTCCGCCGAGGCTGATTATGTGACGAGAGAAGTGCACGAGGGTATATGCGGACTGCATTCAGGAGCGAGGACGACCGTCTCCAAACTCCTACGAGTCGGGTATTATTGGCCGACCATGAACACCGACTGCGCGGCGTTTGTAAAAAGGTGTCAGCCATGTCAGAGACATGGCAATTTGATTCATCAACCAGCCGAGCAGCTACATTGTATTCCTCTAGCATGGCCGTTCGCCATATGGGGGGCCGACATACTCGGACCCTTCCCGATTGCCAAGGGACAATGCAAGTTCCTCCTCGTTGTCGTGGATCTATTCACTAAATGGATCGAGGCCGAGCCCTTGGCATGCATCTCAGCTCATCAAGTTCAGAAATTTCTATGGAGAAACATCATTACCCGTTTCGGTGTCCCACACACCCTGGTGACCGACAACGGCCTTCAATTCACCGACTGAAAACTCAATGAGTTTCTAAGGGGCCTCAGAGTGCAGCACAAGGTCACATCAGTTGAACACCCGCAAACGAACGGTCAGGCCGAGTCAGCCAATAAAGTTATATTGGCGGAGTTGAAGAAACGCCTTGGAGAGGCGAAGGGAGCATGGGCCGAACAGTTACCCGAGGTACTATGGGCCTACCGATGCACCCCCCAATCGACTACGCAAGAGACTCCTTTTTGCCTAGTCTATGGATCTGATGCGATGATTCCGGTGGAAATCGGGGAACCCTCATTCCGCCGAGCCCACTTTGACGAGCTTCATAACGAAGCCGAGCTTCGTGCAAACCTGGACACCATGGAAGACGTTCGAAACCGAGCACAGATTGTAGCCGAGGCCACCAAGCAACGATACAAAAGAAGATTTGACAGCAAGGTGAAGCCTAGAGAATTCCGCGAGGGCGATCTTGTTTGGAGAGCCACAGGCGAGGCGAGGAAAGATCCGAGACACGGAAAACTTGCCCCAAATTGGGACGGGCCCTTCGGAATCCGACACAACCTGAACAATGGAGCTTACAAGCTGGAGCACCTATCGGGAGAACCAATTCCGAGAACATGGAACTCCACTCATTTGAAAATGTATTACAGCTGATGTAACAGTGCACTCTTTTCCTTGACCGAATCTTTTTTCCCTAAGGAGGGTTTTGGGTCGGCAAGGTTTTTAACGAGGCACTTTATTAATAAAGTTTGAAAATTTCATATCGTTTGATTTTATTGTTTTAGGCCGAACACTACGGCATACGCCTACATCAAAACAACGTTCGACCGACCACTTAAACGATGTAATCGAGCCGTACAGGTTTCCCTCCTGAGTACCCTCCTCGGCTAAGGATGTACCTAGGCCGAACACTACGCCAAACAATCACGCCGAAACAACGTTCGACCGACCACTTAAATAGTGTAATCGAGCCATACAGGTTTCCCTCCCGAGTACCCTCCTCGGCTAAGGATGTACCTAGGCCGAACACTACGCCAAACAATCACGCCGAAACAACGTTCGACCGACCACTTAAATAGTGTAATCGAGCCATACAGGTTTCCCTCCCGAGTACCCTCCTCGGCTAAGGATGTACCTAGGCCGAACACTACGCTAAACAATCACGCCGAAACAACATTCGACCGACCACCTAAAACGGTGCAACCAAGCCCTATAGGCTTCCCTCCCGAGTACCCTCCTCGGCTAAGGACGTACCTCGGACAAACACTAGATTGCGCACCAACACCGACCACGCTAGGGCAATTACGAATACGGGCCAATCGGACGCCGCCATTCGAAAATAACGCCCATCCCGACACCGAACGCTACAACTGCCGAACACACCGACCGGTATCATTCTCAACACAACGCACCTTAACCAAACTACACGATGAGTAATTCAATGCTCATTCCGAATACTATTGCACAACCTGAAACCGAAAGCGTCGAGCCCGAATGCGCCCGAGTTTAACTCTCGTTACCCAGCGCCAGCGCTAAAACTTCCCCCCTCCCCCCTCGGTTAAGTACGCAGTTAAATTTCACTGATAAATAAACAAGCCAAAAGATTAACGCAAAGGGTTAAATTCATTAAAGTATGGCCGACCTATCCGGCTACTTACAAAAAATCTAAACCTACCGGCACCAAAGGCCATAGTTACAAAAAGGCACTAACGGCCCGGTTACACAAAAATAATAGTCCATTACACTTGGGCCGAACTCTCTGGATCCCCTTGGCCGACCACGTCGATGACTAGATCATCTTCCTCCTCAGTTGGCGGCACCGAAGGCTGGGTTGAGATACCTCGACCGGGGGCCTCGACATCCGGCTTGGCCCCTTGAGGGAATTCATCATAACTTATGAATTTACCCCCATAAAAGTCCCGACTAACATCAAAGTTGAAATCAGCCGGGACCTCGCAGTAATGATATGCCTGCCGAACAACATGCCTAAATCCCGCATCATGCTGCTCTAAAATCTTGTCCGTAGCCTCGGCTTCGAACTTAGCAGCTTCTGCCTTCAGCCGAGCAATCTCACTCTCATACCCAGCAGCCTCGGCCTTCAACTTCTGTACGGCCAACTTCAGGTCACCGGCCTCTCTTCGGTGGGTGTCAGCGGCCTTCTTCAAATCTTCAGCCGAGGCCGTCACCTTAGCATTGGTAGCCAGCGCTTCCCTAACTGTGGACTCGGCCTCCTTCAGTCGGCCGTGAAGCCTCGACTCGGAAACAACATGCCTCATCATAACATGTTTAGCCACCAGGGAGGTCCAAGCGTCCAGCTCACAAAATAACTTGTACTCGGCCTCCGTTGTCATGCTTTCAAGATATTGCAGCCCGCCCCCGGTGGTGAGCTCCAGGCTGACCAAATTCTCGGTCTGTACATCTGGAGCGAGGAAGTTGGACCCGGCGACCGATCGAAATGGCGAAGGCCCCGCAGCCGGATTGCTCCAAGGACAGCTGTTTCGACCGCTTCGAAGAAGAGCTCGGGCGCTCCGGCTCAATATTTTGCTCGGCCGCTAGGACCCGAGAGGTGTTCCCCTTTTTCTTCGACTCACCTAGCGAAATCATTACGTGAGCAGGCCGATCCCTCTGCGTCTTTAGCGCCGATCTCGCCGGAGGCACATTCCTACTAGCTTTCGCTTCTTTTGCCCGCTTGGCGAGCATGGCGGTCACATCTAACTTCCCTCCGGCCATTAATCCTGCAACAAAACAAATTTTAACATCAATTCAACAGAGCTAAACTACCGAAACCTAAAGAGCATACCTAGCAAGGCCATTTCAAAGTGAGATGTTTCAAAAATGTCTAAAAGGCCTCGGACAGGCAGACCTTTCGGTAGTTGGTCCAGTAGCTCCACAATTTCCTTGTCCTTGACAGGGAGCCCGGATGCCGGCATCGCCTTGTAACGCGTCGGGCGCTTCGTCCAGTAAAAGGGGAACAAAGGGGTGCCTTCTCGGTCATAAAAACAATCCCTCAAATCTGACCCCCATCGAACCTTAAAAAAACCACTCTTAAAACCTTTATAAGAGGAGGTAAAGGCCCGAAGGAACCCCCGCTTCGGCACCCGAGCCAATGACACCCATTTTATCGGTTTACTCGGTCGGCAAGTATAATAATAAAGAAAAGCTAGGGGCCGGGGAGCGAGACCCAAACTTAGGCTTAGGTTCCGAAACGCTTGCATCGCAGCCCAAGCATTCGGATGCAACTGCGTCGGGGCCACGTTCAGCACTCGGAGTACCCCCATTTGAAAATCATCGAAGGGCAGCTGAATACCGAGGTCTTGGAACCAGCACATATACGCGTAAAAGTAGTCATCTTCCTCGGGTCCCGGCTCCATAAAAACGAAATCAGTGTCCGGCCCGTCATCCACACACGCCTCGGCAAGCAACGAAAAATAATCCTCCCCACTCCCGAAGCAATTTTCCAAGGACACAAACGTATCCAATAGCCCTTGGTCGGACAGCTTAGAGAAGTAGATGCCGACTTCTCCGTCGACCCATTCATATCCTGACATCTCCACCGTGCCGTAGTCGATCTTTGCTTTGGGTTGAGTACTCGAGCCGACGACGCCTTTGCCTCGCACATCAACGGGTTCTACTTCCCCCTCGTTGCCCTCTGCCTGAACCACCTCAAAATTTGGTTTCGGCTGATCGACATGACCTGCGCCTCTCGCATCTACCTCGGTGGCTTGCGCCAAAGCCACGGCCAAGGACGCCGGGTCCATTATTTCGACCACATCATCATCACTACCCTCCGATTCGGGGTGGTCGGAAGGGAAATAAACTTCACATTGCAGTGGGGGTAGCCTAGATATCTCGCTTGAACCCGACCCCTCCCTATCTGACTCAGTGCCCGACGCGTCCGACGATGTCCAACTCCTAGCCGAAGAATATTCCTTCTCCATTTATTGCAAAATAAATAATTACAAAATTTACCTTGTTCGGTATGCTCGGAATTATGTTGTTCGAGAGAGCTCGGAGAAATTACAGCAAGTAAATTCTCTCACACCCACCCCCTATTTATAGGTAAAGGTAAATGGAGGAGACGAAGAGATGTGCCCCGATCACGTCCGTTCGATCTTTCTCATCCCACTCACCTAAGACCTCGAGAGAAGGTATCGATCACTCAATGTCTCGGCCTAGGCCTAATCCAATTGACGCCCATGCATGGGATCCACACCAATTACCAAGGCCTCGGCGCTTGTCCGCCACTGCTCTAGGTCTCGGCATGTGCCCCATCAATTATCGCGGTCTCGACGCTAACCCCACCACTCACGGTCTCGGCATTGTACCGATACTTGATACCTATCCACCAAAGCTCGAGGCCTCGGTAGTCCCACCTATGACCAAGACCTCGGTACTCGTTCAGCGATACTCGAAGCCTCGGCATGGTACCAAGACGATACTTATCCACCAATGCCTCTATCCTTATTCACCGGTGCTCGAGGCCTCGGTATAATGTCCTGAGCCCACCTCGATTGGCCACCCCTACAATCGTCAGGTCCTCGACGTTGATCCCCATCACCCGAGGCCTCAAGTCCCAGCGACGTCCCGGTAGAGCCCTCATTAGTCGGTACCCCATACCACGACTAAATACCCATCCCTCCGAGTCAAACGACAGTTTTCGGTATTCTTTAACCATTTTCATCTTTAACATCCTCAACGCTGTGGGGGTTGTATACCGTACGGGACCGAACCCGACCCAGCCGAATCAATGATTTGAACCGAATCGACCGAACCGACCGATACCCTAAACCATTATTCATCATACCGACCATCCGAGCATGCCGACCCCTCACAAAATAGTAGTGATCGACCTACTCGTCCAATCCACGGAATTCCTCTAAATACGATTACGATAGTTTAATTTAAGTAATGAGCCGGATTAACCCCCTAATTTTCCGGGGCCCAATTCCTAATCACGGCCCAATAAGGAACACTATAAATAGACCCCCTTCGAGGTACGTAACTAACTTTTCAACGACCGCATT